TAAGGCTCTCAAGTGAAAAATGACTGAGGCCCTCACCTCCAATCAGGCCCTCCTTGTTTTGTTTTTATAGTTTTGAACTACAACTCTGGAATTGTTAGCTCACAACGCAGAGCTGGAAAAGGCCTCAGAAGTCATCTACCCAACTGTGCCATTTCACAGATGGGAAAACTGCGGTCTAGAGGGGTGGCGGCTCGCCCAGGTGCCTGTCTGCTGCTCTTCCCCCAGATATCTCAAACAGTCCAGCAGGACTTTATGCTGGACGCTGGTCTGAAAACAGTTTCCTCTTGCTCTAAGCCCAGAGGAGAGGGCCTAGTGGGAAGGGGGCAAAGGGAAGGGACAGGAACTGTTTTCCACCCTTCCTTCTCAACTTCACCTTCTTGGACCATCCAGAACTGTCTCCAACTGGAAGGAAGGAAATCTAGTCCAATCCTCTCATCCTACAGGTAAAGAAACAGAGGCCCAGAGAGAGGAAGGGACTTGTCCAGGGTCACACAGGGAGGCCTGGGCAAACGACAGCATCCTGGGGGCAGTTTTCATTACACTCTGCATAACTCAGTCCTCAGTGACCTGCCTTTGCTTTGTGCCTCGGGGCACATGAATTGTTTGCCCTGAAATAAACTCTCCTCTGGCTCGTGAGCACATTGTAAACAGCTCTAGGGCACGACTGGACATTAAAGGATCCCAAAGTCATGAAGGTCCAGCTTAAAACTTTGAAGCCCAGCACTATGCTGGATGCTGTCACATCTAACATCACATCTAATTTAGAATTCACAGAGTGCCAGAACTGGAAGGGACCTCAGAGAACAGAAGTTCAAGTCCTGTTTCCCAGATAAGGACACCAAGACCCAGAGGGGAAATGACTCAGCCAACAACACGTGAGGATATAACTGATCCCAGGACCCAGGTTTTCTTACCTCCTGTCCTGTTTTCTTATTTTTGTGCAGTCCCCACAGTACCTAGCATTGTGCTGGCCTCATAATTTTTCAATATGCTCAATCGATTCTTGCTGAATGGAATAGAAATAAGATGCCTCTGTGTACACATTGCCCTTGGTAATTGAAAAAAGCTTTAAAGAATGCATATTTCCTTTGATAAATATCTAGTAAATGCTTATTGCTCGGGCTTATCAGCTCAGTTCTTCCTTGTTCTATATTATTATCTGCCTGCGGCTGTATTTAGAACTGGACTATTCCCACCCCAGGCACCCTTTGGAGGCCAGCAGGGCCACTTAAGTATTGCTCCACCAGAGACCAGAACTGTGGGCCAGACCACTCTGGCCAGAGCCTCCCAGAGCCTCTGGGATCCTGCCCATGGATCTGAGGATTTCCACCCCAGGAGAAATTCTGGGTGAGAGTTTGGAGGTGAGGGCACATTTGAACTGGGTGCCTTGTTTATTAGGCCTGTCCATGCCCTCCAAAGTTAGGCAATGCTAACTTTGGAGGGCATGGACCCTGTGTGAGTGAGGGGGGATGTGGAGGAGATGGGTGCTGGCTGTCAGTCTAGGAGTGTCCCCCCAGCAGGGAGGAAGGTTGTTCTCTCTCTTGCTTCAAGTACTGGACATTTCTCATGATTCCAGGCAAGTAACAACTCCCAGGGCTTCTAGCAGAGCTGCTCACCACTCCTCATTCCACTCCCCAGCCCTGCTGCCTCCTTCTCAAAGTCCAATAGTGCTGCCAACCTGTCAGGCCATTGGTTAATGCCTGGCTGTCCTCTGAGATTGATTTCCTTCTACCAAGAGGCCAAATTCACCACTGGGTCCCAGGGTCAGAAGTTCCCCAGTTGACTACTAGATCCCCCTCTACAGGCTCACTCTACATCGGGAAACTGAGGCAGTGATTATGAGACAGCCCGAGACCACTGTTTCCATGGTGAACGGTCCTGGCAAGGACCTCCCCTAGGGACTTTCAACAAAAGACAGTTTTCTTCGAAGTTCCTTAAAGGCAGAATCATCTCTCTATCCCCAGTACCCACCACAGGTACTCAAGAAATGTGTGTAGAATGAATGCAGAATTATTTAACTCCCACTTACCCAAGGAGAGGAAATCTGAGGCTCAGCAAGGCCCATGTGGTAAATTCTTGTAACTTCTGGGGCATTTGGCCACTTGGGGACTGAGGCAATGATCTCAGGGACCCCCAGAGAAGAGGACTAGAGTGTTAGGCTGAGTGCCCAGCTCCCCCAGGCCTTATTCCTTGTGTTTGTCGGACAGGCAGAGACCTGGGTTCGAATCCAAGATCTTGCTTGCGTGAACTCTGTGACCTTGGGCAAGTTATTTAGCTTCTCCGAACCTCAGCTCCCTCATCTATGGAGTGGGAAGTATGTAGCTGAGGTGCCCCACGAGACAGTTAGTGACTATCATACCAGACGAGGAGATTCCTTCCTCACGTTCTAAGATCTTGAGAGAAGAAATTCCAGAGTCTTCACAGCCCCCAAGACTTTACTATCTGCTATGTGCAAGGTGATCTGCCAGGCATTGGAAATACATAAAAAAAAAGTGATCTTATGTCTTCTCAAGCGGCTCATACACTGCTTCGGGAGGCAGAACATAAGCACTGAGAAAGCAAAATGCCAACCCAACTCAGCTGCCCAAGAGACATCATAGGGTTGTACAAGACTAACAGCAAATGGGTGGCATCATCATTCTGGGACAGATGCAGGAGGACCCCTGTCTTGGAGTGACATGGGATGACTTTGTAGGGGCAGCCTCTTGCTCAGAGTCCATTGTCCGTTCAAAAAGTGCTCACCCTGGCTTAATCTTTGAACACTCATTCGTTTCGTTCAACAAATATTCATTGTATATTTTTTTGTTCCAGGCACTGTGCTGGGAGGAGACATGTGGTTTCTGAGCTCAAGAAGGTTACAGTTTACAGGAAGAGATGGACACTGAACCAATAATACCACAAATAGATGGATATTTACAAATTTTTTAAAGATTTTATTTTTTTTCCTTTTTCTCCCCAAAGCCCCCCAGTACATAGTTGTATATTCTTTGTTGTGGGTCCTTCTAGTTGTGGCATGTGGGACGCCGCCTCAGCGTGGCCTGATGAGCAGTGCCATGTCTGCGCCCAGGATCCGAACCAATGAAACACTGGGCCGCCTGCAGCGGAGCGCGCGAACTTAACCACTCGGCCACGGGGCCAGCCCCGGATATTTACAAATTTTTATCAGGGTCCATGAAAGCATACATAACAAGGAGATCTAATTTAATTAAAGGACCAAGGAAGGCCTCTTTCAGGAAATGGTATTTAATTCAGCTCTATGGATAAGCAGGAGTTAGCGAAAGAGAAGAGGGGTGGGGAGCATTCCAGAGAGAAAAAACAGCCTGTGCAAAGGCCCTGAGGAGCAAGGGACACACGGTTCAAGGACATGAGAGAAAGCCACAATGGCTGGAGTACAGAGGGCTAAGGGAAGAGAGCTGAGGTGGGCAGGGACCAGATCATGTAGAAGCTTCTAGGTTGTTTTTCCCCCAAGTTTGAGGAGAGGGCCAGCTGCAGCAAAATCCTCTGGAGTACTTACTAAAAATGAAGATTTCTGGGCCCCATCCCCACTGAAAAACAAGCTCTGTTGGTGGGGATTATGAATTAACATTTTGAATAAGCTCCTCAGGTAATTTGTAAGTCCCCTAAAGTTTGAAAACCACTTTTCTGGGCCAGATACAGATTTCAGGAACAAAATTGGAAAGATTTTAAGTGCTCCCTTGATTAGATTTGTGTTTTAAAAAAGTCACTCTGGCTTCGGGAGGAGGCTGGGAAGGATGCAGGGAGTGGATGGGTTGGGGAGGTGGCTGCAGTGTCTCAGGTGTAAGGTGATTTGGTTTAGAACAAGGGGTGGGGATGGAGAAGGGTCAGAGTGGACCGATCCATGAGATACTTTGTAGGAAGAATGTTTATCATTTACTACAGGAACATTTATGCATGTCATTTACTTTTTCTGATTAGATAAGTAATACATGATCATTGCAAAATTTCAGATATACAGAAAAAGATAAAGAAGCAAAGGTAAATATTTTGCTATATATTCTTCTAGACTTTTTTATATACGTAAATTCAGACATATGGATCTAGTTTGTTGTTTACAATAATGGAACAATTCTGTAGTAACTGATTCCTGATTTTCAAGAAAATAATATGTCATGAGTATCTTTTCAGGTCAATGTAGACCTATATCATTTTTAATGTCTGGATGGTATTCCACTGAACGAACGTGCCCTAGTTTATTTGCCAATCCCCTACTTTTGGTTATTTAGGTTGTTTTCAACTTTTCACATCATAAGCAATCTTTTTCCTTCTATACCCATTTTGAACACAACAATGTTTATTTCCTTAGAATAAATTTTTCTTAGTGTAATTACTAACAAACCCTCTAGGTTTAATCACGTATACTCATATTGTCATCCTAAGAGGAGTTGTAGAGGGGGATGACACCCAAGTGAGGGACCGGAAGTCTTCCTCTTGAAGGCCTCGGACTGTTACAATCATACTCTCACCTTTCGCAGTCTTTTCTTTCCCTGGCACGAATGGAGTGTGTGAGGACGGAGCTGGAGGGTTCCAAACCTGTCCCAGCCACCACCTCCAGCCTGGCCCCCTAGCCGGGGCCTCCTCGGCCCTCCCAGCTCCTAGGAATCCATCCCCAGTTCCCCTCCCCCACCGCGGGAGGGCATGTTAGGGAGACGCTTAGGCAGGCAAAGATTGCACCATCCACGGTTTGAAAAGGAAGTCGAGGAAGCGCAGGGAGGAAAGTGGAGCGTACCAAACGCCGAGCAACAGGAGCCAGGCCCGGCCGCCTGCAGCTCTCCTTCCACTACCACTCGCTGGGCTCGGATCCCTTGCCTTCCACCCTCTCCCCAGCCCAACCCTTTGCTGGTACCAGCCCTTTAAGAAGCTGTCACGGTGGCGCTGCTGGCCCCGCCTGGCGGGGAGGGCCGAGAGGGAGGGGAGGGGTTGGTGGTGGCTGAAGCACAAGGGGGGTGGTGGTGGGGGGGGTCTGGGTCTATTTTTAGCTCAGGGTCGGGTCACGTGACGGGAGTGACGTCTCCGAATGTTGTTGTTGGTGGCGGCGGCGAGCGGAGCCGGAGGAGCCGCCGCAAAGATGGAGGAGCCGTCGAGGAGGCGCTGCCGCTGCTGCCGCCGCCGCTGCTGCCGCCGCCGCCCGCGAAGCCGGAGCTCGAGCCGCAGGGGGTGAGCGCGCTACACCACTCCCAATCCCATCTCCCCTGGCCCCCCGGACGCGAGGCGGCGCCCCCTCCTCCTGCCGCCGCTGCCTGCGGGCTCCCTGCGCGCGCGCCGCGCTCCGCGCCCCCCTTCCTTCCTCCCGACGCCCGGTGCCAGCCGGCGCCCTCCGGGAGCATCGCCAGCCCGGGAGCCGGGCCTCGGGGTTCCTGCGCGCCCCTCCCCGCCTCTCCCATGCAGGGGCTCATTCCCTACAGGTAAGGGAGGGGCCCGCGCCCCGCGCCCCCAAATGGCCCGGAGACCGGCCGGGGCTGTCTGATTTGCCCTCTCCCGGGCGGCGCATGTTGCGTTGCAGTGCTATTTGAGCCCTGCACCTGGATTCTATACAGACCCCTCTTCGCTGGACACCCCTTTCTTGGTACTCTGAGGTGAGGGGCGCTGCCCACCCAGCAGCGCTTCTACCCATACCTAAGAACGCATCCTTGATTTTGTGTCCTTGACTTCGGTGCATGAGGAGGGGGCCTGCGAGCCCACCTTACTTCTCTTTTCCATTATTCTCACCCCCTCCCCCGTGAGGCGTTACTGCGCTTGTTCCCACCCTCTTTTCCCGTCTGACACCTTGGAGCCGGAGAGAGAGTTAGGAGATGAAATGCAGCTCCCCACCTTCTTGTCTGGGGTGGATGCCCCCCATTTTTCATCCTGGGTCTGTATCTCATGGAGGCGGGGACACTGCTTTGCCTTTTAACTTGGGGGAGGCTGCTTCCCAACCCCACCCTTCTCTGGGGCCCTGGGGAAGATGAGAACTGGCTGAGTGATAAGTAATTAATCTGGGAGTCTGCTTGGTGTGAGGGAGAAGAGGGGAGGTGGAGGTGCCCCATTTGGGGGAGGAGGTGACTACCTGATATCCCCGCTGTTGGCCTTCTGACATGAGGTGTGTCTCTCAAGAGGAAGTGTAGCACCTGCAGTTGCTTTTGGGGGGCTGCTCAAGAGACCCACCACTCTGACAGTGACCACTATGCTTCTGGGGCCTGGAATTAACTTTGGGGATTAGGGGTAGTGGTGATGGAGATTGGGTTCAGGGTCCAACTGGAGGGGGAGGACGGAGCCAGATCATAGGAACAAAAGGAGACAGAGGATGGGAGATCCGGGGGTCTTGGCCAGGGGGACGCCTGACCAGACTGCCTTGCAGGACTGGAGCCTGGGCCTCCTTAGGTTCAGAGGATGTTGGCAGGGAGGGTCCTCAGCCAGAGTTCCAGGCACCAGAGCCCCTGAGCTTATGCTGGCTGTTGAGATGCTGGGCTGGGCTGGGAATGGTGGGTGAGCCATTTTGGGGGCTGCCTGCTTCTTCATTCCAGTCTTCCCTTCTTCCTCTCCCTCCTAAACACAAAGCCTGGAGAGATCTTGGTTTGCCTTCTGCCCGTTCTCTTGAATTCTCTCTTTCCCCTGTGTTCCTTGGGCTTGGATCTGGGCTGTGTGTTGACCAGGCAGGCAGAGGTTTCTCTGAGTTAGAGGGGTGGACCCCCAGCATCTCCACTCTGTCCTGGGAATGTATGCACTCCACGGGCCAGAGAGACAGATACCAGGTGCAGGTTACTTGGGGGCAAGTATGGAGGACATGTTAGCTCTATGTTGGCCTCCCCTCAGTATGTCCTCCCCTTTGGCTGGATCGTAATTTGGGGGGTGGGCAGCAGTATCACATGCCCCACCCACTCCAAGTAGCTATAGAGACAAAGGTTTGCTTTCTCTTCCCTAGAGGTGGCATCTTAGCTGTGTGTTTAGAAACGGGCCTGGGAATGTGGGGGTAGTTTGTGTTTCTGTGAGAGGGGGAGGGGGGTCAGCTAAAGGAGCTGGGGGGAGTGCAGTCGGTGCTGAAGTACCAGCTGCTCTTTAATAATTAATTCTTCCTACTCACATCCCTTTGAGGAGGGATGTCTGGAACACGGCATCAGGCTCAGCCAGCCTGCTAGAGGACGCACTCCTGTTGGTGGGGGGGTTGGGGAGAGAGTGTGAGGGGGGGCGGTTCTTGGCATTTTTGGAGCACTGTCGCTTGCTCATGAATGAAAACCTGATGCAGCCCGTGAGGGGGCCTATTGTAGCCGACTTTGGCTAATTAAACTTTCTCTGCCTTTCTTTTCCCCACCCCACCTCACCCCAGCCCCGGCCCCAGCCCTTTCTTGAATGGGGACCCTGTCTGGTAGTGCTGGGGAGGGGGTATTGTTCTGCCTGAGGTTTTAGGGCAAACAGACCCAGTCCTCTGCCCTCTGCCTCCTCCTCCTCCCTCCCTCCCCTCTCACCCCCCCCCCATTTTTTTCTCTAGAAATAGCAGCCTCCTCCATCTGGCTTGTGCAGATGCCTGGAGCTGCGTCTGAGCAGACAAACAGAAATGGGCCGATTGCAAAAATGAATTTGTCAGCCTGGTGCCTTTTTTCCTCCCTCGTTGCCCTCCCCCTTCCCTTAGTTTGGGGCCTGGACATCCAAGTCAGCCACCCCTCATGGCTCCGATAATCCTGGACTTCTAGGCCCAGCTGAGGGGAGGCAGAAGGTGATGGAAGCTCCTGGAGGCCAAGGAAAGTGGTCTGCCGTGGCCACGGTCAGGGGAGGTCACGATGAGGGTTCTTTGTGCCTTGGGCTGGGATGTGTGGGCCTGTAGCTTTCTGAGGAAGTCTTTGGGGCAGATGTCAGATTGTGAGCAATCTCTGGCTCACAGGATTTGATTCAGACAGCTCACCTGGGTGCCTGTGATCTGGGGAGGGGACCCTAGTCTCGGTGCTCAGGACTTGGGCCTGCCTTTAGCAGGGCCAGAGCTGGTGTGTTGGGAGGGGGCTGCCTGGTGGTGCTGGAGTCCGGATTCTTGAGAGGCCCTTGAAGAGACACCTGGCTCCCCAGGAATTCTGAGGGAGTTGTTTGAAGGACAAGATACCTCAGGGCAGCACTGTGAACTTGTGGCCTTTGGGGCATCCCATTGCTCCATGTCTCCCTCCCTTGTCTCCCCTTTTTTTCTTTTTTTGAGAAGGATTAGCCCTGACCTAACATCTGCTGCCAGTCCTCCTCTTTTTTTGCTGAGGAAGACTGGCCCTGAGCTAACATCCGTGCCCATCTTCCTCTACTTTATATATGGGATGCCAGTCTCAGCATGGCTTGCCAAGCGGTGTGTAGGTCTGCACGCAGGATCTGAACTGGCGAAACCCGGTCTGCCGAAGCAGAACGTGCGAACTTAACCGCTGCACCACTGGGCTGGCCCCTTGTCTGCCCTTCTCCTCCCAGCCTGTGCCAGAGTTTTTATTGCTCATGAGTGGAGTGGAGGCTGTCCCCCTAGAGTTTTTACCCTACTTCCCCTGGCTTAGCCATGAGCTTGTAGGGTGATATGCAGTCAGTTTCCCTTGTTCCTTGTCCTCTCTGGAGGTGGAGGTGGGTTTGGATCCTGGAGTGGGACAGAGGTCTGACTTGGAAGAGAGAGTTCACGGCGGGGGTTGGGGGTGGGGAGGTTGGGGGGCGCAGGGCCCTGGGGTCTGCCTACTTATGACATCATGGAAGCTGGGCTGCTCACAGGCTTAGCATCCAAGTCTCGGGTCATCCTGGAGTCACACAGCTCTTGGTCCCTACTGCTCACCGAGACCCTCTTATAACAATAGTAAGCAAGTTTCTCTGGCAGAGGAGGGGCCAGATAGCTCAGGTTTTCACCCTCATGCTGCCCTTTTTCCCCTTCCTGCCCCACCCCGATGAGAGTCTGCTCCTGTCCTGATCAGGCCTGAACACTGCTTTGTTCCCCAGGGAGGCTCCTGTTCACTCTAGAGGGTTGATGAGGGTTGGCAGACACTCTCTGCAGGTGGACAGGGCCCTGGGGGTCCTGCTGCATCCTGCAGGCTGGTGAGGAGTGCAGCCTAACCGAGTCGTGAGCCCCCTGGGAGTTCTAGGAGCCCCTCCTGTCCTCTTCTCCCCAGGGGGTGAGGATGGTGGGGGCTCAGGGCTGATCTTAATCTGGTTTTTGTATCTTTGAGACTCTGCCCCTTCTAAGCACCCTGTGTGCCTTTCACTGAGGAGATGGGCTGGGCCGCTCAGCTGCTGGGAATCGTGGGAATTTCTGAACCTGTATTCCCCAGCCCACGGGAAAGGGTGTGAGCGGGACTGGGCGCCAGCCCTGGGGTGGGCACCAGCTGAGTTGCCTGCCCACGCGGGCCCTGCCAGGACACCAGCAGCCCCACCTGCAGCATTCCTGAGCTTGGCCCCAGCCCTGCGAAGCCTCTTTTGTCTTTGCCCCACACCTGTGCCTGCTGGGAACAATTCAGCCCCTTCGTGCTGCTTCCTTCCACGTCCCCATTTGAGTGCACCTTTCTGCAGCTACAGAGTCCACACTCCGTGGGCGACAGCAGGGAGCAGCAGGCCTAGGAAGACCTCAAGTGTGTGCGTGGCGTGCGTGCGTGTGTGTGTGTGTGTGTGTGTGTGTCCCTGCCACGGCTGTGGGGCTTCTTGGCTCCAAATGGGCCCCACCCCTGGGAATCCTTGATGAGAATGCTAGACTTACTGAGAATTAATCCTGCCAGGAGGTGGGGCTGTTCAGGGGGCAGAGCTGATTGCCTGTTCCTGGCTAGGGAGAAGAGTTAGGGCTTAAACATCCAGCTCCTCTCAGCCTCGTCTGATTGCTTCCTGCTACCTCGCTTTCACTGGGTGTTGGAGGGCCTCCTTTCATTTGGAAGAAAATGAATGAGATCATGTCTGGGGTGGATCATGGGCTGTTAGGGATGGGCCCAGGTGGGTGCGTGCGTAGTGTCTGAGGCTTGAGGACTATCTGTGGGGCTGGAGGAGGGTGGGGAGATGGCGGAATGGGGTCAGGTTGGCAAACTCATGGTCCTGTAATACTGGGACATCCTCCGTTACTATATTGGCCTCTGCAGGCCTGCTGCTGGGCCTTTTGGTGCCTTTGTACAAACTGGAAAAAGGTGTCCCTTGTTCTGGGTGGCCTCAGCCTGTGTCAGACCCATGGCTTGGCAGACAGAGCATGGGCACAGGGTACAACTTGTACAACACACATAAAGTCCTGGGCTTCGGCCCTAGACCCCCAGTCCGGGGATGCTGGATGTGGGGCCTTTGCCAATTCGTGGGAACAGCATGGGTTATGTGTATAAGAGACTTGGTTACGCTCTTTCCCTGACCCATTGTTGAATGGGGGAGACCAAGACAGAAGCGTATTGTTTCCAGAGTTGGGTGGCACAAGGATCAGAAAGTAGGGAGAAGATGACTTTCCGCCTGAGACTCCCAGCTCAGGCTATGGGCCTGGGATACCGGGTCCCCTTGACTTCTGCTGGGGACTCCAGATCTGCCCTGCATCTCCCCACTGCCATGGACAGAGTTCAGAATCCCCTGTGTACTTTCTCCGTTGGTGCACACCCAGTCCCCCATAAGCACCCTCAGGAGTCTGTAAGGTCTCCCAGCTGGCAGTGGACACTGTTGCCCAAAAAGGAGTTTGTTTGGGTATGACTACTGTAGGCATTTCCCATCCCTTGAATGCTGGAAACCTCATCAGTTAGGAAGAGAAGAAAGCAGGGTCTGGTCCAGGTCTGCCGATTCCCTCTGTGCCCTTGGGCAGGTGTCCCTCCCTTTCTTCCCCAGGTGTAAACTGAAAACCTCCAAAGTCTCTTTCGCCTCTCCGATTGCTGAGTTGGGGTCCTCTAATCCTGCTCCATCTCTCCCCAGGGATTCCGTTCTGAGTGCCTGACTGCCTCACCCGGAAGGATGGCCTCGGATGGGCATTAGAGGCACAGCGGCCCCGGGCTCCTGTCCCGTCCGTCTGTCTGTTATCGTCTGTCTCTCTTGACATCACTGCAGCTCCACCCCCTCCCGTCCCAGACCCCAACGCCAGCTTCCTGCGGGCCCAGAGCCGGCATGAACTCTCCCAGCGAGTCGGGTAAGAGCCATGAGGCTGGAGAAGAGCACCCTGGGGTGGCTTTGGCTGCAATCAGCTGTGTGGGTTTCCAGTGCAGGCCAGCTGACCTTCAGGGTCTGAGCTGTAAGGGAACGTGGGGGTCAGGAGTGGAGGAGCATTGTGAGAAAAGGGCAGGGGCAAACCTTATTGACTGTGGAGTAGACCTGGGAATGGATGGGTTGATGGTCCAGCCTGGCCTTGGAAGGGCTTGGGTCCAACTCTGTCCCCAAGCCTGCCTTCTCAAGTTGAGAGCCTTCAATTTCAGCTCCACCCTGCCCTTTTTGCCAAGACAGGCAGGCCTGATGGGGGATGTGTATCCCTGAATCTCTGGGCAGCCTGGGGCTCACGTTGGAAGAAGTCCCCACAATAGCTGAATGCCCAGCTTCCTTTTTGTGGTGGTGGCATCTCTTCCTGGTGGAGTGTCTCTGTGTTAATACTTTTTTCTTAGTGGAGGTTTGCAGGGCCCTTGGCCTCAGCCTGTGTCGGGGTGTGTGGTGTTGGGGTGGGGGTGCCGTGACATGTTGGTAGAGGAGTCTTGGCTCTTTCCTTTGAGTCCAGGTAGACTACCCTCCTCCTCTTGGGCTCCGAACGTGGTGGATTGCCACTTTGGGGTCTTTGACTCTAAGATTTCCTATTCCCCTCTGCCCCTGGGACCCAGCCTAGTGCTACCACAAATAATCTATGGGTGGGACGCCAGGCAGCTTTGTGTATGGGTGGGTCTGGGTGTATGCCCATGAGGATGTGTCCAAGTGGCCTGAGCCGGACCCTCAGGAGTTTCACAGGAGGGTCATGGGTCAGTGTGGTCAGAGTAATAACTGCCTTCTCTCCTTCTCTGTCTCCTTCTGCACAGTCTTAAACGGTCAGAGTCTATCTTACTGAACTTTAACCCCCTACATCTTTTTCTGGAGGGTTGAAGGGATATTTTTCCTTTTACAGATAGGGAAGCTAGGGCCTAGAGATGCAAATCCGTTTGCAGGATGGTACAGAAGCAGCATCAGGGGGGCATCTAGGCCCCCTCCCATCTCATTCCCCATCGCCACTTTGCTGGACCTGACGATCTCTGTTGTGGGGACCCAGTGCTGGTGATACGTGGGAGAGGCCCTGACTCGGGTCCTGGGGGTTCCTGCAGAGTCAGGGAAGCTCGAAGCTGCTGGCATTGTTTGGCTTTGTGCCGCTCCTTTTGGTCAAGGCTGCTCCCCCCCCCCCCCCCGCCCTTCCAGTGTCACGTACCCTGGGCCTGGGCTGCAGGCAGAGTGGAGTGCCAGCCGGAGGAGGCTGGGCTCCTGGGGCTCACCAAGGCAGCTTTGCCTGGTGACCCCCCCCCGCAGGGTTTGCGGTTCCCCCTCAGATCCTCCTGCCTCTGCCTTGCCTTCATTCGACCTGTAGGGGCCGTGCCAGGTGTTAGACATGGAGAGGTCTGTGTGACTCTTGTGCTAGAGTGTGGGCTGTCAAGCCCTGATGTCCTGCTTCCTCCTCTGAGGCTGGGCTGGTGAAGGGAGAGGAGAGGCCTGGTGGGTTCTCATTGGTCCCTTGCCCACCTCAGCTGGCTGCTGCCCCTAGGAAGGTCAGTTGTGTCCGGCAGTAGTGCCAGTTGTTCCTTTCCTCTGAGCTACTGTGCTCACCTGCCCAGGAGCCACCTCCAGTCACAGTGGACCTGGAGTCTAACCCTTAGCCAAGGCAACAGAAAGAAGCTGCCCAGAGGCATCGCTTGGTGGCTTGGGAAGAACATTTCTTACCTTGGGGATTTCATTCCCTTAGAGTGAAAGGCTAAAATAATCAGCCTTGGATAGATGGAATACTGGGTTGCCTTTCCAGATGCTGGTGGTCCAGGTTCCCCTTGCAGCCACTTCTGCCAGGGCTGGCAGGAGTTTGGTGGTAGCTAGAAGCGTCCACCAGTGCAGGAGGCAGGCGGTCTAGGAGCCACTGCGGAGCCTGGCCAGGAGGGGCCTCCTGAGTGGGGCCTATAGAGTTGGCCTCGCCTCCTTGCTGGCTTTCCAGCTCCCCCCAGCAGGGGGAGATGCTGTCTTCTTGTGTTCAGGAAGGAGGGAGTAGGGTAGGGGGCCAGAGACTGGGAACCTCATTTTAGGACTGTGGAGAGGCCTCAGAGCTGGGATCATTGCTTGGGATGGCCCCCTCAGGCCCTTCCTGCCAAGTTTTCTTGGGGCTCCAGGACTGGCTCTCCCACTTGTGGAGTTACAGCTGCTCTGGGCCAGGGAGAGACTAGCCTCCACATGGCTCTCTCTTTTTGAGGGGACCAGCATCTGCTATTCTCACATCTCAGGGTGGCATCTGGACTGGGACTGTGGGTGTCCTGCGCCAGGCAGAAGCCTGGAAACCATGTGCGTTTGGACTCCACAAAAGTAAAATGAAATCACAAATTGTAGCTGGAGCACACAGGTGTCCACTTTCCCCATGGACACCCCGCAGAGAGCCTTAGGAAGGGCATGGGACCAGGGGTGGGGAGATAGAGGTGGGAATGAGAAGAACGGTTAGTTCCCAGGATCTGAGTGCCCTGGCCCCTGAGCACCTCCTACCCCTTCACACATCCCCGACAACTCTCCTCTTTCCTTAGGACACAGAACAGCAGGCCTGGGTGAGGCACAGAGAGTTTTCTGCTGTCCCCTGGTTCCCCTCCATTTCTCTCAGTGCAGGGACTTTCCTATTTGGTGGGTTCTTGTTGAGTATCCCCACATCCCCGACCCTGAGCTTAGCCTGTGGGGAAGCAGAAGAAAAACTAGAAGATGGTCCTGTCCTCATTGCAAACGAGTTAGTAAGAGAGTGTCCTGGGTGAGGGGCGGCAGACCGAGATTCGGAGCAGTTTACTTCTGGGACTCGCCCCTCCTCCCCGGGGAGTGGGAGCTGATCGACTTACCTCTGGGCTGGGCTGAAGGCCAGCATTTGACCTGATTTGCCTCTTGCAATCTTGGGAGTACAGGCAGAGGCCACTGATGGCGCTTCCTGCTTCCCTGAGGAGGCCACTCCCTGGTGCCTGCTTTTCTTCAGGAAAAAGGGGGCTTGAGGAGTGAGGTTTTCTTTATTTTTCTGGAACTGATCATTTCTGCTCCCCTCAGTGAGACTGAAGGACTGACAGAATCTGCCTCCTGCCTGGGCTCTGCTGGCCAGGTCAGAGGAGCTGCCTGGCTCCTGGGACAGAAGCCTGCTCTGATCCCTGCCCCGTCTTCTGTGCCATTGCCCAGAGGTTGGGACAAGAGTGAGGCCCACCATGTGAGCCAATCTAGTTGGAGACAGGGCCCCAGGAGGAGGCGGCCGGGTTCCATGGCCCCAGCCTGGGAGGGAAACAAGCTTCATGACAACACCTGCCTGCCCAGCACCTCCCAGCATGCTCCACACTTTCTCTCCTTCCCTTTCCCAGGAGAGAGGGCGGGCAGCTGCCCCTTCCTTTCTGGGTGACCAGAGAAACTGGGGCATGTGTGTGGGGTGGGACTGGGAACCTCGGCATCCTGACTCCCAGCCCTGGGCTCTGGCTCTGTCTCTAAGCCCCCGGGGAAGGCGGGCAGCCAGCCCTGAGGAGGAGAAAGTGGGTCAGTGCCGGCGTGGGGCGGGGGTCTGGGAAGTGGATTCCTGGCGTCCCTTCTCTACTTAGATGCCCCCTGGCACACCTCTGTGTTCACTATAGATTGGGATCTGCTCCACCCTCCGCTTCCCTGCTCCATCATTCCAAAGGGACTGAAGGCTTAGAATGGGACGGTCAGAGGAGGCAGGGTCAACCTCGAGGGGATGTGGAAGATGCCAAAGGAGATGTTGACATTTTTCCTGGACTTGGCTTCAAATGAGAGGGTTCAGCTAGCACCTAGCATGGGACCTGGCACATGGCAGCGCATAGGTCATGCTGATGGGCTCCAGCATGACTGGGCTCAAAGGGCACGAGAGAACCAGAGGGCAGGTGGACCCCAGGGCAGCTGGCGCTCCACACTCCATCCAGGGTGCTCCTGGGCCAGCTCTTTTTACTGTACACAAAGCAGACCATGCTTTCTTCCTTTCCGTCAGGGCGCCCCCAGCCTTTTGGGGCCAAGACATGGGAGCCTGCAAGAGCTCAAGGAGCCAGCATTGGGTTCTCCTCCTCTGAGTTTAGAGGGTTAGGATTCCTGAGCCCAGCCTTTGAGGGAGGGAACAAGGTCATTGTAGTCTGGAGGAGTTGGTGCTGGCTCCAAAGGAGCCTCACATACCCCATGCTTGGTAGGTGCTCTGTAAGGCTTTTGGGATGACACTTGGGAGAGCTGGATGGGTGGAGACGGAGAAGAGAAATGAACCATGAGGAGAGGGGCTATAAAGCAGGAAAGATTGAGGTTAGACATTAGAAGACCTTATTGCATCACTTGAATCTCAGAAGGAAAAAAAGACACTTTTTTTCCCCACCCCAAACCTCCTTTCTTATTCCCCTGGAGGATTCTGGGAACTGCACTGTGGGTTGTCTGTCTGTGTCTGACATTTCGCTTCCCACTTCATGTCCCAACTTCATGAAATCATAACAGTGCTGAAAACTGCCCCGAACCCCTCTCTCTGCACCCCTGGGTGCGCAGCTCCTGAGTGCCCCTATCTTCCCTAAGCAAGGAGTTCTCTTTCCTTAGGTTTCTGGCTGCTCCAGGTTCTGGGAGCCCTGCTTTTGAGTCATTGTAGCTGATGACTTCCTTTCCTCCAGAGTAGGGCTCCCCTACAGTACTCTCCTGTGCCTGGGGCAGGTAGGGAGAGCCAGGACAGGGCTAGCCAGCCCTTCTGGTTGCTCCCAGCGTGGGTGGGTGGAGTCCTGGGCTGGGAGGGGCTCTGCCCCTGGCTTTCTCGGCTGCCTTGAGTCTACTGCCCATCACCCCACTGAGGGGACCTGGCCTTCCCTTCCTCTTGAGAGAGAGCCTGGTTGGCCAGGTTGAGGTTAGGGCCGGGCGGTGGCGGGGTGGCGTGGAGAACCAGGTCCCCAGATCTGCCCTGAAGTGTCCGCTAACACCGTACCCCTGTGGGGAGCACTGCTCTGACACTGTTTTTGTAGAGTCTGCTGGCTGAGAAACTGAGGCTCCAGATCTTTGCTTAGGTTCTGTTTCCCCCCACTCCCCCAATAGACATCTTGTCAGCCAGTCTAGGGCCTGGGAAAGCCTCCTCTGCCACCTCCCCTGTCCGTGTGCTCCCCTCACCTGAGGGCAGGAGGCCCCTTTTCTGTCCCTGGCTGGCAGAAGCCCCAGCTGGGAAGATGGGCTCCAGGAGGCACAGCCACTGTGTCCTTGGTTGGCCAGCTCCTCCTGGGCTCCCAACAGGAGGGTGAGGTCATCCAGTCCAGGGAGAGGACAGGTGTCCCTGGCTCCATGCCTGGAGTTGGGGGCAAGGAGGGGCCAGGAGGGGACTCCAAAATAGCAACTGTGACATCAGGAAGCAGGAGGGGGACATAGACCCAGGAATAACCAGGCTATTAAAAGGCTCCAGTGAGGTCAGGGGGCCAAGCAGGCTCTCTGGACCAGTGGGAGGCACAACCTGAGGAGAAGGGATGGGCCAGCAGTGGGCAGGATGGGCAGGCGTCACAGATCCTCATGATGCACTAGTCTGAGGTCCCAGCAGGGCCCCAGGAACAGGGGCTGCTCTGCCAGGCCTGGGACTGGTGGGAAAGGGCTGGATGCTGGCAGCCTCTTGACTCTTCTTAGAAGGGCTCCAACCTCAAGTCTGTTCCTACCTGGGTATTAGGGGTCATCGTACCTGTTAGCGGAAACCCTGGGGCAGCTTCATATACTCCCTGGTGCAGGATGCAGTGAGTTGTGGTGGTTAGAGCTCAGACTTGAGCCCCAGACATCCCAGCCCTACCATTTAAGCAGCTGTATGACGTAGCGTGAGTGACTTCATCTCTCTGTGCCTCAGTTTCCCCATCTGCACCTATCTCCTGAGATCAATGTGCAGAATAAATGAGGTGATATATGTGCTGCTTTTAGCGTTGCACCTGGCCCATTGCCAGGGAAGAGCTACCTGTGTTCTGAGGATGGGCAAGTGCTCCCTGGTCCCCTTTCCCTGGGTCGGGGGGGGAGGCCTGTCTGGAAGGAGTCTCCCTGCCCCTGGAAGGAAGCCGAGCAGCCTGTGGATGCAACACGTCTAATGGGTAGGAGGGAGCTGTCAATCAGCTGCTGCTCTGGAGTCTCCCTGCTGGATGAGGGGCTGGGGAGGCACCTTCCAGGCTTCTGGCTGTTAGAAGGACTCCAGGGAGGATGCAAGGTTAGGCCAGGTGGCCCTGTCTGCCACCCTTTCTCAGACCCTTTCAGTTCCTTTACCTGCTTTGGATGGCAAGAGGGAAGATAGAGGATGGAATCTGGCTTTTTGGTCTCCAGCCCCTCGCCTGCCAGGAGCAGCGCCAGAGGTGCTCCGAGGTGCATGGGTACTCCGCAGTCCTTCCCCAGCCCAGCCTCTGGCCACCCGGCTCTGTGGCCTTGGCCCTGAGTGCAGGCCCTCCCCTGTTCCCATCCCCCTGCCTGGCGCTTCCTCCTGGGGTGGAACGCACCTCCCCCCCCATGGGGCCTCCGCCAGGCCTGGGCTCCTGGCAGCCGGCCGGCGGCTCCCTGAGCATGCTCCACCTATTTATAGACAGGGCCCTCCCCCAACTGCTATTTCAGTCTTCTGCCAGCTGCCGGCGGCTCATTCGGGAAGGAGGAGCAGGGAGCCGGGCCCAGAGCTGTCACCCAGGGCTGGGAGGGAACACAGAGAGCCCGCCTTGCCTGCTGAGCTCCCCTTCCTGTCCTCTGAGTGCTGAGCCATACCCCGGCTCCAGAGAGCTGGGGAAAGGCTGGTAGTCGAATGCCCCTCTAGAACAGAGCTGGGCCTGTAGGTCTGGGGCCTCCCAGCTCCTCCTGCCGCTAGGAGCGCCCAGGCCGGATGAGGCACCTCCCCACAGCGTGGGTCCCAGCAGCAGTGGCCTGAGGGAGCCCCTGAACAGGGAGGGCTCCGCCCCACCACCTTCCCTTTGGCTGACTCCCGCCTCAGGCGGCCCCCTCCCTGGCATGCTGCTGGTACCCAAAGCTCAGGGGCTCGTGGAGATGCTGCAGACCATCTATGAGACAGAATCCTGTTTCTCAGCAGATGGGATGTCAGGCCGGGAACCGTCCTTGGAAATCCTGCCTCGGACCCCTCTACACGGTATCCCTGTGGCAGGTAAGTACCTCCGTGTCCCCACCTGCCCTCTGCCATTGGGCATCTTTGTCCCTGAGGCTGGGCATCTGGCTCTGAGCCTCGCCCAGATGGGGTCTTGCTTAGATCTTTCTAGAGGGCTTTGTTTAGAATATGGACGGTTGGGGAGCCATCCTCACTGAGTGGGCTTCCCTGCCCTCTCTGGCCGAGAACCTGCCCTCCTGCCATGCCCTCCAGCTGTGCTGCATCCCTTCGAGTCTCTTTGGCCTCCAGCAGGGTCAGCATCAGCTGCTGGGGGCTGTGGATTACTAGAAGATCCTGGCCCAGTTGGCACGGTGGTCAGAGGGGAGGAAGTGGGTCAGTGACCTGCCTCCAGTCTGCCTGCTCCCCAGGTCTGGGCAGAGGAAGAAGCCATAGCTGGAGCGTCCATAAGAATAAACGCTACCCCGGTTCCTCTGGCTGGGTTCTTGGGGACAGAGGGTTGAGTGCAGTGATTTCTGCAAGTCCTCAGTCAGGAGTCCCCTGGGAATCAGATACCTGGGGAGCAGGCTTGATGCACTTGTGGTCAAGTTAGGCAGAGGCTGGCAGCTGGGATGTGGGGGGCCTTGGCTGCCTTAGTTCCTAGTTCCCCCATATCTCTCCTTCCCCCAGGCCTTGGATTTTTCCCATCTCATGAGGATGAAGAGGTGTTACTCTGGCTAATATGGGCTTGAGGAACCCCTAGCCCTGCTGCCTTTTCAGCAGGGATGTTTTGGCTCTTGACTGGGGGCGGGGGTCCCCCAGAGCTTGGCCACTCCCTCCCAGGAACCTGTTGGCAGCATCAGGCCTTTCTGGCACAGCCTCCTAACCAGGCCGGCACCACAAGATGCTTCCTCTTGGGAGGGGCCTGCTGGACCCATGCCGGCTTGGCCCCTCCTGGCAGTGGCTTGGCACTCGGGTGTGGGCGTCTGTGTGTATATGTAAAGGGAGTCTTTGCCTCTGGTTATGTGGGTGTGGGTCCCAACCTTTGAATTGGAAGGTGGGAGCTGTGTGCCTACGCAGGTACCTGTGATTTGGCTCTGAGCTGTCCAGGGATAAGGTTGCAGCTGGACTGGATGTGTCAGAGGATGAATGTTTTGGGAAGATTTGGAAAACCCTTGGAACAAGGCCTGCCATCTGTCTGGGCAGGGATGCCCATGCAGTCTCTTAGGGGAGGGCCATAACCCTGGGGGCCAGCCCTCCAGGGTACCCATGCAGGCCCCTGGGAGGAGGTAGACACACAGAGGGCTGGTCTACCCCTGGTCTAGTTGAGCCTGCAGCTCTAGCTAAAGACCCTGCTGCTGACACCTACCCCAGAGCCCCTAGGGGTCAAGGTGGTCTCTTGGAAAGCAAAGAACTAACTGTGCAGAGCATCTGCTTGGGAGCAGCTCTACCCATTTGGCAGATGCCGTATCAGTTCACCCATGCCGCCCTGTCCCCACTGTCGCTTGCCTCCCAGCAAGGCTGGTGGTTGGCCTCCTCAGCTTATTCTCTCACCTTCTGTCAAGTTAGACTCCAGAAATCTTGCAAGCCAGAACCCCCCACTCCCATCCCTTCCCTAAGGCTGCCTGTCCCTGCATAGACCCCCCCCAGCCCGTCCCTCTCTCCAGATCCCTGTTGTCACCCCCCCCATGCACACTGCCTAGTCTTTTGAGAGGTGGCGTGGTCCATGCTGGCAGGAGGGAGGCGTGAGTCACCTCAGCGGCTCGGGGAGAGGGCTAAGAATGTTCCCCCTGCGCAGCTCTGATGCTGTGTCTCTGACGCGGCTGGGGACAGATATAGGCCTGGAGCTCGGCTGCCTTGTTTTTTTTTGGACTCTGGAATGTAAATAGATGTTTCAAATAGAAACGCTTTAACCTTTGGGTTAAAAAAAAATCCACCCCAGATAAACATGGCCATGAGGGCCCAGGCAGCCTGGTGTTCCCCCTACCTCCCCCCGCCTCCTCTCCCATCTCTTGATCAGTCTCCAGACAGGATGCAAAAGTCCATGGCTGAAAAAGCAGATGTCCAGGGACACTTCTTGGGCAGTGTGTGTCGCCAGGCCTCCCCAGCACGAGGGGTTGGGGAAAAGGGGGCTTTCCAGGGTGGGGGTCTACCCTGGACTCTTTGCTTACTCCAGCAGCAAGTCTTGGGAACCCTATTTTAGGGGCATCCTTTGCTGTCTGCTGTTCCCCAGCGCTTAGCACAGTGCCTGGCACATGGATGAATGAATATTGCTTGAGGGGGCTGGCGTCCAGGGCTGATGGCAGGGTTCCTGGGCTCTATTCTGGGGTTTGGCCCTCTGGGTGACTGGAGACAGCTATGGTGAGTTGCCCCAGCGGGGAGCCAGGGCCTTGGCAGGCAGAGCCCATGAGGGATGCGGGGCACTCTCTGCTGTTGCTGCGTGAGGAGGGGGACAAATCGCACCTTCCACTCATGCGATCAGAGGTCTTCCTTGACCAACGGGGTCTCTGCCTAGCTCCATCAAAACAGCCCAGTGTACAGTGGCTACTTCCCTCACCCAGGCCTGCTACCGGCCTGGGGAGCCTGGGAGCTTGAAGTCTGGTGAGGGATTCCCAAGGATGCGGAGCTGGCGGATCCCCTGCCTCCCTTCTGTGGGCCCTGGATTCCGCTTTGGCCTGGGCTGGGCGGAGCTGATGCTTGGGCAATGTGCAGGATCTTAAGAGCAGGCACGGAGGAGGAGTCTCCCTTCCCAAGTGAGGCAGGGTGTGATCCTGCTTGTGCCAGGAAGGGACGCTGTGGATGCTGGGAAGTGCCATGGGGCTCAGGTTTGGTCTTGGGGTTTCCCCTGGATATTCCTACTCATGTTCTTCAGACCATTCCGAGCTTGGCTGTGTCTGTGGGTGTGTAGGTGTTGGGGTGTGGGGAAGGAAGGAAGGGCGAGACTCATGTAGGAAGGGAATGAAGATTATAATGTACTAAGTGACAGGGGTAGCAGGTGCTTTCCTTACCTTGTCTCTTTTAGGATGGTATTAATAGCCATGTTTTACAATTGAGAAGGATCAGAGAGGTTAAGGAACTTGCCCAAGGTCACAGAGTGTGTGACAGCTGGAATTCGGATTAGGTCTCTGTGTTGGGCCACCACTATCCTCCACAAAAGCTCCTTTGTGCAAATTTTTAAAAGGTGGCCCTTCTTCCAGGTAGATACAACCTCATGCCAGAGTTCATGGCTTAGCAATTGGATCGTGGGCTAGATTTCAGCCCCCAACTTGCCCCTTCACTTGGGTGCCCTTGTGCAGTATAACCTTGTGCAGTATAACAACCTGCATAACCTTATGTGGTGGGCCTGTCTTGGTGCTTCCAAAGTTTGTGCTCCTAAAGTATAGAGACCTGAGGTTTCTGAGAGGAGGCTTTGTTTTCTATAAATGCTAGGGACCACTTGGTCAGCTATTTGCCTCCTTGCAGGGATTTTGGCCCAAGGGGAGAAGAGGCTCAGGAACAAATTTGAACACCCCATCCCATTCAGCCTTCCCTGCCCCCTTTCCCTCCTACCTCATCCCCTCCTCTTGTTTCTGAGACCCTCAGCTGTCCCTTCTCTGCTGCACAGCTGCCAGACAGGAAATCAGATTAACTGTGTCCACACACACACAGCTGTAACAGCTGTCAGGTTGGCAGCAAAATGAGTGCAGCCAGTCCGGGGACACTGTGAGAAAGTAGTTTGCAAACTTTCAGTTGCATCAGAATTATCAAAGGAGTGTATTAAAATGCAGAATACCAGGCCTTCCCCGTTCAGATTCTGTAGGGCATCCCAGGAACCAGCATTTTAAACACATCTCAGCTGATTCTGATGTGAGTAGACACAGACCATGCTTGGAGTAAGGGCTGGATGGACAGGAGTCATGGGGACAGGGGTCATGGGGCCCAGCAGCCTGCCAGTGGTTGTCACCAGCATCCCTGGAAGGCCTTGGTGGGCTTTGGGACTCCTGGGAGAAGGGCCTCCTGCAGAGGGAGGGAGGCTGTCGCCCCAGGCAGAGTCAAATCCAGCTCCCAGCAGCCTGGAAGTCTGGAGAAGGGAGGATGTTTTGAGATGCTGGGGAGCAGGTGCCCAAACCAGCTGGGGCAGGGGATTATGGCAAGTGGCCAGGTGGGCAGGTGGGCAGGGTGCCCTGCTGGATGCTCAGGGCTGGGTTGTGCTGGGGGAATGGAGGCACAGCCCCTGCCCTGGGGCCCCTGTAGGCCACCCCAGGTGCAGAGTGAACAGTCCCAGCAACAGCTGCAGACTCTGAGTGGTTAGTGTGCCTTTTAATCGCCTCTAGCTTGGTGCCCAAGTGTTTCCTGGAAATGGCTGGGCTGAAGTGTCTGCTGCTTCTCCAGATAGCAGCCCAAGGTCGACGACTAGCTCTGTCTTCACCAGGGGGAGACGCTTCGTGCCTTCCATCAGGGCTCTGCCTCCTCTGAGCACAAGGTCCCTCAGAGGCACGATCTGCCCCAAGCTTCTGGGGGTTCCATTCACTCAGCCCCCTTCTCCCCTGTGCTCCTGGGCTCTGGTGTTTGGGGGCCAACCAGGTGCCCTGCCTAGATTCCTGGATCTTTAATGTTTAATAGAGAGTTTGGCTCCTCGCTCCACCTCTCGTTAAATTCAGGAGCAGCCTTTGAGGGTTCTCCTGTTTTTCAGTGGGAGGCAGAGAAAGAGCCAGAAGGCCTGGGGTTAAGCCCTGGCTCCTCCGCCTCCTTTCCAGGTGACATTGGATAAGTCTCTTCCATTTCTGGCCTCACTGTCCTCCTCTGTCAACTGGGGAACTGCATTGCTGATCTGCAGGTCCTTCCTGCACTGATGTCTTGAGTCTCTGAAGTCAGTTTTGCATTGCTTCTGCCTTGGGAGAGGAGGGGCTTAGGGTCTCCTGAGTCCTGGCCCCAGGAGGATGTGGAATAGTATCGGGGAGAGGGGTGTTGCCTGCAGTGGGCACAGTGCAGTTAGATACCAGGGAAGACTTTCTGACTGCTTGGAGCTGGGGCCCCAAGAGCAGGGACCAAAACTCATGTTCTTCTGAGCTAATGCTTGTGAG